GCTGCCACTGGAGCCACAGCATGAGCCACAGGCAACCAGCACACAGTAGGGCAGCTAGCCAGGTCTGGCTCTCTTGTGTGCAGGGGTTGTGCTTGGCTTGGTGTGTGATGGATAGGTGAAGGAGGAGGTAGATGACTTGGGGCTGTGAGGGAGGAACATGTAGGCTGTTGGGGTAGTCTGCACAGTCTATCCCCTGGTGTAAGACTGATCAGGATTGGGCCACCTCTTTGAACTCAGGGTTGAGCAGGGCAACAATCAGCAAGGGAGGGGCAGAAGAGCTGTGCTGGAACTTGTTGCCCTCCTTTTTGACCATGTAGAGCTTGAACATGGGGATGACTTTGTACTGTGCAATCCACCTGCAGTCTTAGGCTGCAGAAGCACCACACAGTGAGAGTCAAGGTGTGATGTCCACAGACCCTGTTGTTGAGATGGTAGTAGGGCATTGGCAGCCTTGGTGGTGAGGATGGTGGCCAGTGTTATGCCTGTATCTGGGCACCCCAGCTTGTGGCATGCCAGGATGAACATGCCCACATGCAGGTTGATGCTGAGATGGAGCAACCTGTGGCTGATGTTGGTCATGGTGCCAGCTTTGGTGAAGGTGCCCATGGCAGTCAGTGCCTCTGTTGCATGGTGTTGGGCTGCCTCTGGAATGTTGACCAGCAATTGTGGTGCTGCTGCAATGTTGACAACTTGAGAAGGGTCTTCATCACATCACCACTCTGGACCTCTGGTGGGTGTGATGTCTTGTGGGCCTTGACACTCTCCTTGGAGTAGAGGTGGATGCAGATGCCCAAGGTGATGTGTCTGGTGTGCCCTGTATGCTGGGTCATCAATGACTGTGTGATTGGGGTGGTCACCATCTTGTTCATGTTGGCCTCTGGGTTCCACTGCACTTGCCACTCCAGCCCAGTGTTGATGATGTAGTGAATGTTGGGGAGTGTCAGACTGGTCTTGGTGAGATTGGTAGTGAAGACAACCAGCTGCTGCTTGCTGTCAGTGTGGTTG